GCCGGTGACCCACTGAAGGGTAGGGTTAGATTGATCTCAACCTATACCAGAGTGCCGGTGACCCACTGAAGGGAAGGGTTAGATTCAGAAAGCAGACAGCAGCGTCTTTATTTGAGTATGTCCCATAGGTAAAAACTAACTCTAACCCATTAACCTTGTGCATGTTTAAGACTGGTAGTAAAGTTTTTGATTGTTAATATAAATGAAACAGTAGTGTAAAGATAGATGTTTGGGCAAATGAAACAATATTGAATAGCAATATCAACATATGTTTGTTTTTTAGGGATCAGAGGAGACCTTGGTCCTCCGGGACCACCTGGGATTCCAGGGGATGACGGGAAACCAGGAGAGCCTGGACGACCAGGACCAAAAGGTTTCATTTAGCCACCAGCGAGTCGGTTATTTTCACCAAAGTCTGTCTGTCTGACCCTTCTCTGTTACTCTGCCTCTCAGGCCAGACGGGTGCAAATGGGTTCTGTGGCTCTGAGGGGGCTCCGGGGCCTCGGGGGGACCAAGGAGAAACTGGACCAAAAGGACTTCAGACAAACATCGAGATATTTGGAGAGCCTGGAGAGAAAGGTTCAGCAGGTAATCTGTTCTGTTCTACTGGGCATCGCTCTTTAGTGTTGAAATGTTATTTATGGTGTTACAGTAAGTGGTTAGCTGAGTTTACAACACTAACCTGTAAACACTGACACGAGTACTGCTACAGCTCACTGATTAACACATCTACTGTATATGATTTCTTTAATTTGTCAGATGATGTGCCTTCATTACAGTGACCTGTCTTCTTCCTTCTTCTTTCTTACTGTCAGGGCTCAGAGGCCTCACTGGCGATAAAGGAGACAAGGGCTTCTCCGGGCCACGAGGCCAAGATGGACCCAAGGGTCGAACTGGGAACTGTGGGCCTCAAGGTGAACTGTCATGTTAGGAAGTTTGTGAGCGTTGCAAACAAAGTGTATTCTCTCTGTAATTTCTTTGTATCGGAAAGAGAGAGGGGTTAGGTTAGGGTTAACCCCGACCCTGACAAGGTGATCTCGAGTTGACCAAAATGAGCATCCAGTCAATCATCACCAGCTTTAACACTGCTGGAACCACTAAGCCTAAATCTTCTCCTCCAACACTGTGTGAGAGCGTGTGAAGGATATGCACCCCACTTTGTGTTCCAAAAATGTTTTTTAACTGCATGACTGTCAACAACAACTGTATGTGTTTATCAGGACTTCCTGGTGACCCTGGTAGAGATGGAAGCAAAGGTCCTCCTGGGAGCTGTGGACCCCGTGGTGACAAAGGAAGAATAGGGGCACCGGGTAATGTCCCCCTGCCTGAGTGAAGAAACATAAACCATCTATTTTTCTGTTGCAATGTTTCTCAGTTTTAATTTGGAAAGGCGAGGAAAACATGATAAAGGCTCTCATGGTATTTTCTCTGCAGGTTTGAAGGGTCAGAAAGGTTGTGCTGGACGCTGTGGTCCTCCCGGTGCAGTTGGAAGTCAAGGATACAATGGACCTAAAGGTTGTAAAGGAGAACCTAGTCCACCTGGACCAGGATTGAAAGGATATCCAGGAGATAAGGTGCATATCATTTGAAGTTCATATGATATTGGTTATAGTATAAAATATTTTCTTCATGAAGCCGTTTATGATGGCAGTTGTTCTTATCCCAGGTAACTGCAGGGTTCGCTGCAGTGGGCATGAAACGATCATACACATCTCCTGATATGTCATGCAGTGCGTTTCTTCCTTAACCTCCTGGGACCGGGGGTCCACATATGTGGACATTACACAACATTAGACCACAACAAAAATGTTTCTCTACATGAGCTCGATGTCCACTTACACGGACGTTATACTGCCACTGTTCTATCAAAATGTGAAATGTCCTCATATGTGGAGCTAATTTTTCTCAGAAACTTTAGGAAAATTAGGAAAACAAATCTGGTGATTCTTTGTTTTTACATTCATCAGGTCCCAATCAGCCCAAATATCAAACAGAAATTAAAATTATGCCATGGAAGAGTTCAGGTCTGAGGAGGTGAAGTTGGTCGCGCCACTGCTTCATTAGGCTCCCTGCTTCAGGATCGCAGGGTGTCTGGCCCATTGCTACGAGCCGGTCGGTCCCATTGCTGGGGGGGGTCAGACCATGCCAGGGCTGCCCCTTGACGCTGATTGTGGTCATAGTTTTTAGAGACGCGACCCATAATTAGACGTTAATTATATATCTCAAAAACAAATCTGGGGCATTACTCCAAAACCAGCTGAGAGTGGTAGTTTATGCTTTTCATCATTAATGTGAAAGTTTTTAATAGCCTGTTTTTGTCATTAAGGTATTCCAACATGTACACATTAGCCTGCATGTTAAGCACATAAGCAGGTCATTTACACTCTTGAATCCTGAAGACTAACATCAAAAATAAACTTTGGTTTTGTTTGTTTCACCTCAGCGGCCTGGAAACAAACAAAGTAAAATCATGAAGTGAATAAAACTGCACACACATAGAGGAGACAACGAGCGGCTAAAAAACAGTGTTTTCATATTCAGTATTTTACAGAATTGATTGGCTGATTCTCTTTAGGAAAATCCATACTTGATGTAAAATTTTAAGTTGCAAAAAGCAAATTATAAGCGTTTAAAAAAAAAAAAAAAAACAAAAAAAAAAACACCCCTACAAAGCTGATATATTTATGTATTTATCATTAGGATAATACTTGCCAGAGTGAATGATCTGTCCTTTCAGGGAAGTCCAGGATTTCCAGGACCTCCAGGTAGTAAGGGACCACCAGGAAACAATGGATTGTTCGGTCCCCCAGGAGTCAGTGGCCCCTGTGGCCCTATAGGACCCACTGGACTACCTGGTAGCAAAGGTGTGATTCATGGATGGAGAGATACAGATAGAAATTCTTGAGTCACTTTTTTAATGAAGTGTTCTAAAAGACATACATACATGCATGCATGTATGCATGCATGACTAAAAGCTACATCAAACGCTGACTGTTTGTTTCAGGTCCTCCTGGGTCCACTGGTGAAAAAGGTTATGATGGTCCTGAAGGAAAACCTGGCTGTCCAGGTCCCCCTGGCCTCAAAGGTGTGTCAGTAGTGTTCCAATATACACTTTGCTGTCTGTTTTTATTGCCTTAAGCCGAAGAACAGACTCCTGTGCATGAATTATGTCTTCATATTTAGGTAACACTGGGCCACCTGGAGTTTCTGGCCCATCTGGTCCAAGAGGAAACCAGGGACAGGATGGGATACCTGGACCTCCTGGAGAGAAAGGAGCGATGGGAGGTAGGGGAAATTTTACCCTGCCACCTCCACACAGGCGCCAGACCCAAATGCACAGCAGGTTATTCAAGAAAACGGCGCTTTCACTGAAGCAAAGCAATGCAAAACATGAGCGAAACCATGAACAGAAAGCAAATACACAGGAATGAATAGAAACGATGAACCAAAACACAGGATAGTAAAACACACTCATTACTAGAAAACCCATCAAAAAAACAATAAAAAAGTTCTACAAATTAATTTGAGAATTGTAGGAAAATAGATGGTGAATAATTTTTATTATTACTATTCCAACCCTTTATAGTTTTGTTAATACTGGCAGTTGTTATATTTGATATAGGCCATCCAATTAAGGTAAATGTCTGTTTTAGTCTTTATAATCTGATGAGGAAGATTTTATTTCAATTATGGTTGTTTTATTTTTCAGTTTGCCCCCTGACGGATTGAAACCTTAACATGGTCAGGGGGGGTTTGCGGGACACGGTACAGGTGTACAGGTGCCGTGAGTCGTTTGGTACGGGCCCGCAAGAGTTGAGGCTTTGGTGTGAAATTTATGGTTTTTAGCGTTAATTTGGTTTCCCTGGTTCTTTTCCCGTGTGAAGTTGTACGTCTTATTTTGAAAGAAATATTTATGCGTTACCATAGCAACCAGAGAGCATTAAAGGGCAGAGAGGAGGACGTTACTCTGTGTTCTTGGCGCATTTCCGGAGGACGCTGCTAATAAAGTTACACAATTACAGAGTGAATTCACGTTTATTAGTATTTTTACAAAACAGCAGTTTTTGTCTCGGTCGTTTTGTTTTGTTTGGTTGTTTTTATCTGCGACACCTTAAAGGCCGGTCCGTGAAAATACTGTCTGACATTAAACCGTCCGTGGTGCAGAAAAGGTTGGACCGATGATCTAGAGCACCCCACAACCACCCCCTCCACTTTCCTTCCTCTGTTGCCACCATTTGCCCCCTTTACATTTCTATCAGCCCCCTCATAGATGCCTGTCTAGAACCGGCCCTGGAATGAAGGGACCAGACCTCAGAGATAGTAAACAGTCATACCTTTAATTCTCACAGAATCAAACGCATCAGTTTTGCTGTTACTTCCTAACCTCTGTTTCTTTTCCCAGTATCTAAGCCTGGACCTCCGGGACGAGATGGAGAGAAAGGTCCACCTGGTGAGTCCTGTCATCAAATCCTGTGTTTAGTGTTCAGTCAGAGCTAAAGAAGAAGAAAAACACGGTGCTGTCTCCTCTGGTCTCTTCAGGGTGTACCGGGGAGAAGGGTCCTCCCGGTCCCCTTGGACCTCCTGGGCCATTTGGTCCAACAGGAAATCCAGGCTGCCCCGGACCTCCTGGACCACCTGGCCCTCCCGGTCTTCCTGGTACGGAAGGAGTCTGCTTTCCCGGAAGCAAGGGTGGAATAGGACCGGCTGGATGTCGAGGACCAAAAGGTGATGAGACACATTAGAAGTCTCGTCAGTGAAATGATTTAGAGGCTACTGTGGGGGATTTAGCATTTTTTTCTGTGTGTGTTTGAGAGTTGCATTTTCTTCAAGTGCGACCAATTAGATGCAGCTATAGTTTCCCACAGTGTGGAGAGACAAACATACTCAGAAGTGCTGGATTTGCAGAGGACTTTCAGGATGTCTGCACTTCCCAGATGACTAAACTTGGTGTAAACAACATCTTCTGTCCTTTTGTAGGTCCACCTGGCTGTAAGGGCCCTCCTGGTCCTCCAGGTCCTGGTTTCAAAGGGGATAAGGGATGTAAAGGAACACCAGGTATCGCAGGAAAACCTGGTTCCAATGGAGACAGTGGTCCAAAAGGCCAGCTGGTCAGTACACAGAAACATTACGGGAAGTAGCTCGTTCAGAATCTGTTTGTTAGCAGCCTAGCGTCCAAATCTGTGTGATGCTAGATACCAAAGAGAGCTCGAGCTGCTTTAATTCGGGCTAAAAATCAGGTGACACAAACTGTGAGAATCAGTGAAAATGTTATAATCACCACAAACACGAGTACCTGGGTTCACTCAGCATTTAACCTTGACATTTTTAGCACTCAAGATCCAAATTGACCTTAAAAACATTCAAGAAACCACATCAAGTAATACATGAAAGTGCACAGAGAGAGCTGTACAACACATTTTTTGAATATAATGTCCTCTGGCATCACCATGATGTCGTAAAGTTTCACAAAATCACACGCTGCATGAATACAGTTTAACATCTGTGTTAAAGCTGTTTTTAAAACTTATAGCCAGACCAAAGGTTTCAGCCAGTTCTGTTCATGTGGGTACAGGTAATAACATACAATCTTATTATGCAGCGCTTCATGGTCATAGGTCAAAGGTCAGATGTTTTTAGTATCGCCCTTTCTTCAGGGGGACCCATTCTTTATAAATTTAGACCCATTTAACGTTTCCTGGGATGTAAAGTAGAGGATTGCATATATATGTAACACCCGTCCCACATTCTATTGAGAGGGGTCCCGGGTTCCTGTTGTTACTTTTCTATTGATACTCCCTTTTTAATGCTTATGGTATAAAATATGCAACAAAACTACACTATATGGAAATAAATCTCACACACAAGCAGATCAATTATAAAGTTAACTCCACTTTAGTGAATGATTCATTAACAACACAAAAGAAAATAAGTAAAATCAATAAAGTTTGTTAAACGATGGTAAGGTATCTACCGCAACAGAAACAAAATAATCAAATAATATTGTGGGCCCACACGCCCTCTCACCAAACGCTACAGTCTTTCTGCTAGCAAACCCCTCGTTGCAGGCCTGAGTCGTGGCTCGGGTGCGTTGGGACCTAAAACAATGTGGTCGTTTCACTGGTTGCAGAGCAGTAAAAATAAAAAGCACGTGCAAACAACAGTACTCACACCTCCAGGCAGTTCAAGGGGATAGCGGGGAAACTGGGTCACAGCTACCAGCAGGCTGTGGCAGCAGCACTCAGTCGTCTCCACGTGAACACATAACTTCATCACACCAGCAGAAGGGACCTCTCTGACAGGCCAGCAAGACGTCCGTCTCCTCCTACTGAATCACACAACCCCGCTAAATGCCAGTTCACATGCGATAACATTCAATCTTAGCATTAGCTTAATAAATAAAAACAGAGCAGAACAAGAGCTTAGCGAATATGCTAGGCTACGCTAGCGGCTATGTTAGCAGTTGTGCTAGCGGCTAATCGCGGTTAGCAGTTAGCCCGTTTTACACAATAACATTGGGTACAAGTGTCAGACAAAATTCACATTTACCTCACAGTAGGGTACAACAGTTCTCGACTCCAGTTAACTATCCGTCAACCCGAAAATACGTCTGTCGCCTTCTATGAACTCTGCTTTCACTCGACACTGTTCAGCTCTCGTCTCTCGCGCTTCCTGCAGAGTGCACACGGCTCCCCACTTACTCCCACCCCCTCTACCTGAGACTACTTCAGGGTTCACTGGAGCTGTAGTACATATCAATATCATATCAAAAATAATGACATAAACCTCAAAATACAAATAAAAAGGTTGTGCATTTAACTGACACACATCACATACTTTGCAGGCATTTGTATACATTCTTGAACACATTAAACATTTGCAATTAACTATCAATATTAATGAACAAATTTAAATAATGAGCTACTTTTATACCCAGGGCTACATATATTAAAAAAAATAAGGAACCAACTGTTGCTCATCACAAAAATAATTATACTAATAAATATTATAATCAATATTAACTATAGTAATGGTGAAATGTTGGGCTACTTATTACTACCCCTGGCTGCAGTGCACGCAGCCATTATAGCTGTCCATGCTAATGCCTGTTATAAATGAGGAGTTAGCTAGCTAGCATACCACATGCTTGTTTTTTGAATAGTTTATTACTCTAAATTTACATTTAATCAACAAATTAGAAGTCAGGGACACGCCCATGACAAATGGAAACGCAGTTTGAAGTGTTCTCATCTTCAGTCCACCCCATCTTTAACAGCTCACTGAGGCTGACTGTTACCAAGCAGAGACTGCCCCCATGTGGGGTTTTCTGGCACTGCACTACAAAGCATTCAAATTTTTGTCTATATCAAACAGAATAAGGAGTGTTAATATGACAGTATTAAAAACCATCAGCTGCTTTTGTGGTTTTACAGGGTGCATGTGGCCCACCAGGCTCACAAGGACCCAGAGGCAGGAAGGGAGATGTAGGTGTCAGAGGACCTGTTGGTAAGGACTGAAATAATAATCACTCCACGTTTGCTGTTTGCAGCTTCACAACGCTGTTTCATGTCTGTCCTCAGGTGTGCATACATCTATGGAATTATATTTATGTCATAACAAATGTGCAAGTAAAAAATAATTTTAGCAAATGATTTAATTTCATGGGTGCAATTAAATTCCTCGCATGTAAATGCTCAACACGTAGAACTCAGCAGCTGTGCGCACAGAGAAGTTATCTCGAAACTTCTTTTATGATAAATGATTTGCTCTGATTATTTTTTAGCTCGTGCTTTTATTAAGACGTAAATATAATAATAATAATACATCCCAGAATGAATGTGACATTAACCACAGCTATAGCTTTTACAGCTGCTCTTTCACCAGATTAAAGTAACTGTTTAGACTTTTTTGGATGTTTAGCCTTCGGTCTACTTTCAGTCAGTGTCCACAGTTATCATCTGGGCAAGAACAGCTTGGCAGCATAAGATGAGATCAGGTAGGATAAGATCACCTTTATTAGTCCCACACTTGGGAAATTTGTTGTGTCACAGCAGAAAGTGGACAGTGCAAAGTTACAGCAGCAAAAATTAAGAAAACACTGGAACAGGATAAGATAATAAGAATAAGATACTGTACACAATACAACAGAATTAAATGCAACATTGTCAGAAAACACTGTGTGGATATGAGATACTCCTGACAACCTGACATCTTCACTTTAACAAAGTTTTTCTGCTTTTTCTTCTTTTTATTAGGGGTGGGGGGAAAATCGATACTGTGTAGTATCCTGATATTTTGTTTGCTAATAATGTATCGATA